GGCAGCGGATCACGATCGCGCTGCTTGCACGAGATCCCATGATGCAAGGTGGAGCTTTTGGCGAGGCCTGGGCGGGGGGGGGGGGGTGGGTTTGTACGATTGTCGAAGTTGTGAGGTTCCGATCTTATGGGAGTTTGGCGTTCCGCTGTCAGGGTCAGCCTGCGCTTTCACTGCTGCAATGACACGGGGGGCAAGCCAGCCTTGCGATATGGTTTGGGGCAGTCATGCCAAAGCGGAGATGCTTCGAGATGGCATGCGAAAGTTACCTGTGCGAGTACAATGTAGTCCTTGCCCAGCCCACTCAACTTGAGAATTCATGATGTGCATTAGCAATGTGGCAGGCTTCAGTCCAGTCAGCAGACGACGTGCGATCAGCAGGCCCAGATGTGTTTTGTCAATCTGCCGAGATTTCTACGCAGTAGCGCCATACCTGCCTTATGTATGAAGCTGCACGCAGGACAGAATAACATGTCTCGCCGCTTTGAAGACATGCAGATCGTAGCCTTTCGAAGTCTCCACACGCAGGTCAGTTTGCTGACTTTGAACTGTCAAACTCACTCCTGAGCCGCAACCGCCCTAATCCACCGCCTGTGCCACGAGCTGCCAGATGTCGCCCAAGAGCATTCCGGGAGTCCAAAAGCATTTTACTCCATTCTGACTGCTGACTCTGGCAACGGAGAGGCGGGGTTCCAGCTGAGCATAAGGTTATCGAGTTATATCCTGGCACTGAGCGGAGGCGGCGTCGCAGACAAGCAGTGTAATACCTTCGCATGCAGATGCGGCGCAGGAAGAGGAACCTGAGATGCGCGCAGCAACAACTGTGGGCTTGCAGACTTGCTTTGTGACTTTCTTGAGGAGCTTTGGCTTGAAGGTGCAGAGGCGCTGCTGGTTTCGCACAGCATGGACAGTACTGACGATGACGAGGCCGCTTCCATTGTCTTGCGTAGTTTTGTTCCAGGCTCTTTTTTTGGCATCGGAGGATTGGATTGCTTCGAGCAGCGAGCTTTCCACAAAGGTGGGCGATGGCAGTTTCAAGTAGAGTAGCTATGGCGGGCCGTGCCTCTCTTCGCAGGACTGCCAGAAGACCAGTGATGCAAGTATCCTGTCTGGTTCTTGGAGATGTGCTTCCAAAGAAGGATGTGCTTTAGCGTCGCTTCTCCGAGGCAAGAATATGAGAGAAGCTGGAGCCTGACCCAGTCGCCGCCTGAGTCTGCAAGCCTGTGCTGCTTAGTCGCAGGAGCATGCAAGATCACATGATCATGACAACAGTCCCAGCATCAACAGCAGGAACATGATGATGGAAGCTGTCCCTCCTGATCCGGGGTCTTGAGCCAAGTGCACGGGGTGGAGGGGAGGCAACTGAGTCAGGAGGAAGCTCGTAAATACAAATTGGTTCGGTTCCATCAGCTTCTGCTCTGTCGCCTTTGCTCTTAGTCTATTGAGGCTCTATCGCTCTGTACTCTATACTCTACTTGCTCTCAGTAGCCTGACCGGACGCGTGTCAGTCAGTGTCAGTCGTCGGACAATCTTGAATGTTTGCCTCCTGCGCGAGCGTCAACTTCATTGTTTACCCTGGTACCATGAGCCAGGTACGCAATTGCTTGTTTTTTTCGTGTGGTCGGGAGAGCGAACAAGGGATGAAATGCCAAAATGTGAGAAGGTTAGTCCGTCCAGGTTTCCGTGCGCTCTTGCTAAAATTGGGCTTCTGCTGCTGTTTCCTACTATCTGAAAGTATCGATGAGCAATCTGTGGAATGTCTAAGTCTAAGTGTGAGGATTGACAATGTATTTTTCTAATTTTTTCTGGCCGAAACCCATCACCGTTTAGCCGAGACGCATGAACAAACGCAGGTAGATCTGGGTCGTATGATCCAGTGATTGTAGTGGAAGCAGGAATAGCAACAAAAGTAGCTGCAACAGCATTGACAAGCGGCAAGACATGTTTCAAGCTATCCGAATATCAAAGCCTGTTGCAAAGGTTGAACGGCCCTGATGACGCCCCTGTTTGGCTTTACATGTATGACCTCACGGAGGGATTGGCAGCGCGCTGGTCCCCTTGGCTCTTTGGCGCCCACATAAAGGACCCCGCCGCGATGAGAAGGACATGCACTTTGATTGGACCGGAACGATGCATTGCCTACAGGGGATCTGGCACACCTCCATTGTGGTGGATTGGGGGGCAAAATGCGGAGGCCTTAATCTTTTTGCAGCTTCGCCACTTGCAACGTAGACACTGCTTAGCATGCAGTAGCCTTCGCATTATGCGGCGCAATGGCTGAAACAGCTGAGTTGTCGAGTACTATCTGGACGGCGTCCCTTGTTGGCAGATAGGTGCCGAGCCCCTGACTCAGTTGTACTCTTCGCCAATACACAACTCATTGCCGCATGGTTTTCTGACAGGAAAACACCGTGGGGAAAAGCTCACGAGAAGAGGTCTTCCTAGTCCTGTTAGCCATCTGTGCAGTGAGACGCCAATCCTCTGTGCACGGCGCAGGTTTCTGGGCTACACGTCCAAGACAAGAACGGAAGCATTCGATTTTGCGAGGCCTGCTTCCACGGTCTGCCGACCAAATAAGCTTCCAGCAACTGCCAGTGGCTTTACTTGGTTACTTGGTTGGTCCAGGGTGTTGCAGGTAAGCCATTTTATCAGTTGCCGGTGTAGTGCCACGTTGGATATTGACTACTGCTGCTGTTCTCAAGCGCCAGGTCTTGTCAACAAGACTATGCGGAAGAATCGTACCACCTATTGCGTGGGCCTCGGTGTCGTGAGCTTGCCATAATGTCCCGGGCACGAAAAGGCAAAGCAATCAACTGTACGTAGAGGATTCGATACATGACTCGAATGACTTCGCTCGCTTTGGATGTCGGTCGACTCTACTAGCCTCCATTGTGGCGCTAAGGTTTCAGGGTTTCTGTGCCTTCCTGCTTGTAGAGTTGCAGTTTGAGCTGCAAGGGGGTGAGCTGGCTTTCTCGACCAGCTGTGAACTGTGTGCGAGTAGGGTTGCAAAGCCGGATCTGCCGCGACTGTCTTTCGTCTTTAAGGCCTTGAGTCATAGATGAGTGCGCAGAGAAAACATGTTCTGCCGCTGAGCTTATCGATCAGTTGGTGGCGGAGCCGATTGATCTGGCTATGGCTGCGCCTGAGAACCCTCCAGACCCCTGGGTCAACGACGATCCTTGGTCATCTTACTTGAGACATGTTCAAGGGCGTGGCCGGACCTTTCGCCCTGGTGGCGATGTCGCTGAGCGCGATGGAGTTCGAGGAAGTGGACCTGTTGATAGCTTTTCAGGCGGCCTACCCGGGCCTTCGCTGAATCCTCAAGGGATGCCAGCCCGGATGGCGGCCTCCACGACTGGATGGTTGCCAGAGATGGCTTCTCAAGGAAGCCATCAGCCTGGTGTGAACTCGCCTTCTTGGGAGGCGATGCAGTTTGGCAAGGGAGTGACAGGAAGACCCTGTCTGGCTACGGCACCAAACAGCTTGCCAAGCGGACCAGTGGGCCAGGCGAATCAACCTCCTGGGAGCTGGACACCTTTGTGGCCTCCGACCATGTCGGCGGCTATGAGTTCAGGGCAGTTCCCGCTTCTAGGGCATGGCGGCTACCCAGCGTGTGGATCTACTTCGACGGCACCCACTTCGACCTTCGCGCCGCGAAGCCCACCAACGATGGCATCTACATTCGCGTCGCCCCCAAATCCGGCGTTCGCGTCTTCTACGCCTATCTATTCCCACGGCGGCGGCTGCGTCATCTTGTTTGGATGGTCATGGGCCTGGGGTGATTCCTCCCTCAAGCCCCACTAAGGTGCAGTCTGCTTTCGAGATGTTGGGAATCAGAGCGCCTGGAAATGTGGCTAAGCCAGTGGACCAAGGAGAGAGATTCATCCAGGCGATCACGGGCGAGAAGAGAAACATCCCGACGTGGACGGGACAGCCGGCTTCGTTGAGGAGCTGGCTGAAGCTACTGGCAGTTTGGGAAAGCGAAACGACGCTGCCTAGAGACAAGTGGGGGCTGAGGTTGTTTCAAAGTTTCGCTGAGAATTCCCAGCCACGGAAGATCGCGGATCAGATTCCGATGCACGAGCTGTTGAGCGAACATGGCTATGGGTTAATACTCACCCAGCTGCTCGCCAAGTACAAGCCCTTCCTGGACATTGCAGCACCAGCGGCCATCGACCGCTTCCTATATTCCGGTGATCGCCAGAAGAATGAATCCTTCGCAGCGTTCCTCGCGGCAAAGGAGGTTGCGCGTCAAGACATGGAACTACACTTGCAGGAGCGCATATCCGAGAAGGTCGCAGGCAGGGTGCTGCTCAGACAAGCTAACGTCGTCACGATCGAACGCCCCGGCGCTCTTCTCACAACAAGGTTGACCCCAAGCTTGTGAAGGGTAGCAGTGCTGATTTGCAGGCTCGTGTTCGATGTTTTAACTGCAATGAGCTCGGCCACTATGCGAAGGAATGCCCGCTGAAAGGGGCTGGAAAGGGCTCACAGTCTGCAGGCCCCAAAAGGACGGCGTTTGTGGTGTGCCATGGATCCCCGTCGCTAACTCAGGTCATGGCAGTGTTTCATCAACCTCAGCAGCCTCGACTAGATCATCTTCAGATCTTTGCAGGCGTAAGAGTGTCTGGATGTCAGGCCCTTGTCGACACTGCGGCTGAGGACGCGGTCATCGGGAGCACTGCCTCTCGGTTGTTGCAGCGCGAACTTGCGCTGTGGGGTTTGCAGCCGCTTCCGGTCACCCAGGACCAGCCAATTCCATGTGCAGGCAGTGGCGGCTCTGCTCAGGTGTGTGCCATCCTGGACATTCCCACGTGCGTGGCCGGGATCCTGGGTGTGGTCAGATTTTCAGTGGTGGAGGATTCGTCGAACTTCCAAACCCCTCCTCTACTCCCATTAAAGCTGTCTTGGACCTCGGCAACGACCGCCTGTTCACCCCGGACCGGCATGAAGCTCCCATGATCCGCCTTCCCTCAGGACATCGGGCTATCAACATCCTGGACTTTGACCAAACCGCGTGGGAACTCCCGCCGAGTTTTCGTGGTCCCGACGGTGTCGACCCCTTTCGGACATCTACATCCTCGGCCACTTCTTCTTGGGGAGGTGTGTCTACGTTCACGGAGGTGCCCTCGGACATGCGTTCAGCTTCGATGTCGGGGTCTCCGGAGTCGCCTTCAGCACCGTCGCCTTCATCATCAACTACGGTGGCTTCGATTACACGATCGTCTTCGGCGCCTACAGTGGATCCGTCTTCATCTACGTCGGCTTCGAATACACGATCGTCTTCGGCGTCTACAGTGGATCCTTCTACATCAACTACGTTGGCTTCGACTACGCGATCGTCTATGGTGGCGACAATGGACGTGGAGGACTTAGCGACCAAGTACCTGCAAGCTCACGACTTCTCGTATGAAGCCATGGAAGACCCGTCACCTACCGCGACGCAAGGTCAATTACCGATCAGGCACGATGGCTGAAAAGTCGGCTTAGTCAGCAAGCTGGGCTTTCGGACTCTACGTCAGGGGTCCGTTCTCGGGTATCACCAAAGTCAGTCACCAGCTGAAGAAAACCACCGAGTTCGGAAACGCTTGGCTGATGGACAAGTTCCCTCAGGCCACTTGGACCTCGTGGAATGTGAACCTCAACATGGTGGCCAAACCGCATGTCGACAGCCAGAATGCCAGAGCTACCCTGAACCACACAGTGTCAATGGGCAGCTTCCAACAAGGAGAGCTGTGGCTGGAAGCCGACGATCCACAAGAGGGAGATGTTCGCTGGAAGTGGAAAAAGGGGAAGAGAGTGTGTGGCACGTTGGTCAATACCTTCCGGAGTCCCACGTCTTTCAGTCCTCATCGATATCACGGCACAGCTGCATGGTCAGGTTTTCGAATCTCAAGAACGGCATTTACCACAAGGAACGTGAACAACTTCAACCCAGAATGTCAAAGTCAGCTAATGGTCCTTGGGTTTCCGTTACCATGTGTCGCACAAAGCTTCGTGATGCACAGTCATGAGTCTGACTCGGAAACTGACATGCTTTCGGCGGTGCAGTGTGAGCAGCATTACCCGTGTGACTTGGAACAAGCAGGACCAGTGCGAGTCATCTCCGGAGGTGAAGTGATCAAGCGGATGATTCGCAAGCTGCGAGTCTGGTTAGCACGTTGGCGCCCCGTCTCCCCTGGAATCTCTGAGAATCATGTCGTCGCTGCGGCGCCAGGTGGAGCAGATGGCTGCGGAGGAAGCCGCGGGGGTGGAGCCTC